TTACTTAATTTAAATCGTGGAGCACCTGGAAACTAGCGAACAGCTAAGTGTGTACTTTTCCACGTTAAATGAAGTATGTCTATGACCAACTTGTTTATCACGATAGTCTTAATCAAACGTTTCCTATATACGTATTATTATGAATTATTGTAAATGATGACTGCATGTTCTGGTTCAGATTACTATATTTTTGTTTTAGGGACGATGGTTTTATTCAACTCTGTCTAGACCGCCTTTAGTAACCGAGCCGTCATACTGTATGGAACAATCCGCCGCGATAAAAAGAAAAAGAAATTGTCATTTAAACGACGTATGTAGTTAACTTTTGTCTCCTGAGAAAGTGCAATAGTGTAAAGGCTCTATTAAATCTGTCCGCTGTGTTAGAGAGTTATGCGCTGTTATTTTATAACATATCTCCAATTTTTGGAGGTTCGCGTTGAATATGTTGCCCGTATTTCGTATCTTTATCCTTTGTTTTAGTGTAGCTAATGTACACCTTGGACTCACACGAATTAAGTTCGCACTTGCACGTGATAGGACGGAACCTGACTGGTAAAATGTAAAAGCCGCTTTTAAAGTTTTGCTGGATTAAGTACCAGTGTTAAACGAGGATAACAGGCCCTACATGGCTGGCCTTCTACGCTTCTTGACATTTGTATATTTGCCGTTCTTTTCTTTATATCAGTCTGACGACCTTTTTTACTTAACACTTGTTTCTGAAGGGCACTGTAATGCTTGGTTTGTAGGGAGGGGGGGGGAGGGAGACACGTCATTAGAGTAGCGCCCTTAGACTCATAGTCCTGCGCCTTCCGCTGTTATCTGCGTGTAGTTTATTAACACTTGTGTATTTTGCCGTGTGCTGAGTGCTGAAAGGTCGAAAAAATGTTGGTTACTTGCATTTTTTGTTGTTACATCAGGCCCAGCTGACTGATAAACTGTTGCAAGTTATGYTGCTTATTATAACGGGTATAATATTTATTTATAAGTTTGTGTTAGAGAGAAGTTCTGTTGTTTCTTGCATCAACTTCGTAGAGCTTTTTGTCTCTCGACTGTTTGCATGTTCTATGATATTGTGTGGTTTTTTTCAGGCAAAGCGTTGTGTTCTTGTTCTAAATGTAGGAGTTTTTACTCTGATTGTTTATCCGGCTCCATATTTTGTGGTCTTCATTGCTTTCATTTGCGATGTAGTCAGATTTTCTTGAGACTGATAGTCCTTCTTTCGTTAGGAGGCTTGTAGCTTTGTTTTCAAACGACTTAACAGTCTAAACATAAGTGTTAGATCTCCAACTTACTTGCTAAAGCACCTCTTGTTTTGGTAGTAGAAATTAACATAGCAAGATATTTTATCAGATTTAGGTTCAACATTGTACCTAAAGATGACGCCACCCTGGAGGAATAAGTTTCGTTAAAATGCATTTTCACTCGAATGTAATCGTGGCTAAAACACCACACGAGTACATACGAGTACATACGAGTGACATACGAATACATACGAGTA